CCCGCCTTAAACGAAACATGATTCATTTAAAGTCACAATTTCGTGCCACCATTTATTTCAGTTTTTTTAATCTCCTGCAAGTTTTGCTAATAATTTTTGTCATTTTCGAAAACTGATGAGTTTTACTAATGTTGCTGCAAACTTTCACACTTTTAATAATTGAAATGTGGGCGGCAGAGATTTTCATCTTTGTAAGAGTGTTTTAACAGTTCGCCACGCCACTACCGCTTCTAACGGTTTAGAAACAGCCCGCTGCTGCTCATCTCCGTATCCTGGCAGACATGTTAGGAGGGAGGGAGGAGGCGGAACTCTATATGGATGGATCAATGTGTCACGGGGGTTGCAGTGGGCACCAAAGCTGCCACTGTTGACTAAACGAGTCAGGCAAAATGACGCAGAATTGATTTATTTTTTTTGCAGGTGTTACTGTTGAATGGACGTCTTGGTGTTTGTGTATGCGTGTGGAAAAGGGGTAGATGACATATACGTAATGAGAATAGGCTCAGAATCACCCCGACGTGGAGAAAACGCCAAGTGAGAAAAAGATAAGAAATACATAAACAGAGAGGCCGGCTTCAATCCTTGTTCTTTGCGCGCAGGAGAGATTGATGGCTGCATTCAGGATTTCTACACCTCACTAATTGGATTCACAGGTCATTAGATAAAGTACACAACTGAGACTGTTATGGCCTAAAGACTGAGGAAGGCAAGTGAGAGTTGGGGAAAAAAGAAAAAAGGGCCAAAAGGGGCAATATTGATGAGGTTGTTTGGTTCAGGACCAATAAAATTTCTTCCCCTTTCTGCTGTGTCTCCAAAGCCCTGTTCCACCACGCAGAGGTGGGGTGGACTGATCGATAATTTGTGCAGCAAGAAAAGGTGGTGGTGGTGGAGGGGGTTGGAGACAGAAGGAGGGAGGAGGGTTAGAGAGGAGATGGGAAATAAAGAGAAGGAGTTGATGTTATATGACTCATGTTGCCTGTTGTCTCTTCCTTTCAATATATCGTGGCAGGGAGAGGAAATGAGATTAGCCCGACCATTATGTTCTGCAAAAGAGCCGAATGAGTGAAGGAGCATTTCATTCTCCCAAAAGCACAAGGCCTCTGTGCCCCAGTTTTGAGCGCAGGGCGACGGGGGTAGAATCGAGGTTGGCTCAGCTAGATGGTAGTTTATACAAACATGCAATTACAACCTAAATCAGCCATCATCCTAAAAGAGGATTGTGTGCTAGACTACCAAACAGAGATTACGAGTTTTCAATGTAGCCTGGCTTTTTTTGTGTGTGTGTGTGTGTGTGTGATTTGTAGTTCAGTGACAAAGTGAGCTCACTGAAAAATGCTGTACGTGTTTAGAGAGCCAGCGGGGGCTTGTTGTCTTAACATAGGAGAACAAGGGTACAGTCTGCTCAAACACATACAGGCATGCAGATGGCTGTTCATTAATTACAGACGGACTGGGGGAGGGAGTAACAGAGAGACAGACACAGACACAGAGGGAGAGAGAGACAGAGAGAGAGGTCAGCTAATGTAGCTAGCATTCTGCCTCTCTCCCTGGACAATTACCTCTGCCTGCCCCAGACCTCTTCTGACGCTCTTAATCAAGGTGCAAGTGCGTGGGTGTTCGTGCGAGTGTGTGTGTGTGCATGCGTTCATAAGAAAAGGTTCCTGCCATCCTCAGCAGTCTCTGAAAGCAATCCGATTAAAGCCTCGCTGCTGTGGGGCCTGGCTGCAAGGCCTGCAGCTCACCTTGAAAACCCTTCTACACTCAGCTGTCCATTGAGCACAAAAGCATTTGCAAGTGTGTGTAATTATCCTAAAAGACAACGATCACTTTACTAGAATTCATATATTCTCAATAAACAATCCATAAACTTGTAGATAAACAAGTAATTGGTCCACGTGTAGCGGTTAAGAGGAGCTGCTCTAGTCTTCATGCCTCGCCCCTCACAGCATCCACCAGTGTGTGTGTTTGTGTGTGAATTTTAGGCAAAGCTTAGGCATAGAAATAAGCGTTTGTATGAATGTGTGTGAATGGAGAGCACTTTAGCACTTTGGCTGCTCAAATTGAACAGAAAGGTGCTATATGAGTACAGTATGTTTACCTAACTTAATAGACATCTGTGCATTTTCTTGTTATTTTTGGCCAGTTTTACAAATAAACATGTATTTAAGCTTCAGTGAATTAGCTGTGACTGTGAAAGACAGGTGACCTGTCTAGAATCCACCCCACCTAAAACTGAAAAAGTGACAAATTAAGCGCAAAATGTTTATCTTTATTACTTTAGAATCACAATTCTGGTTTCCTTCGGTGGATGGTAGGCCACACACACACCCTCACCACTCCCCTGTCTCATAAAGCACCAAGTGTGGCCTCTGACTCTAACAGCCATTCCTTTGGCCCAACCCTCCCCTCCCAAAGTCATCTGTGCTCCGCTTAGACAACCAATCTCCTGAAAAACAGGTAATACTTGGGAGGCTTTGCCGTGGCTTCAAAAGGCAAAACAAACCCATTCATTACAAATTCCAAGAGTCTTTTCCCAATAAATAGTGGTCACATTACTGCAAACCTGGACCAAAATGAGTTCTGCTTTTTTGTTCCCGGCGGTCGAATGCAACACAAAAGACCAATTAAAAACATTCAAATTCAGTTTCATAATGAATTTCAAGCTTCAGTGAAATATTTCCATTTGAAGGTTGGCCCGAAAATAGAAAACAAT